CTGAGTCGAAGCAACTAAATGCAGAGGTCCTCATCAGCATGTTTGCAGTACAGCTGTTTTTTTTTTTTTGAGTCATTTTAGGCAGTGTATGAAATAACTCTAGCAGATGACTCAATAAATGATGCCAACCACCTGGAAATAGCTGAACATTTAAGCCACATTCTTAGAAGTTGATTAGAAAGAAACAATGAAAGAGCATCTGCAGCTGACCTTGCACCCAGCAGGATAAAAGCAGTGTCCTCTTCAAATACCCATTCCGAGTTGTAAAAGCCAAGCTGAGCAGTGTCTCTCCCCACTCTATACAATTCAGCCCCACCCTCTCTGCCCCTGGACCGTTTCCAAACTAATCACTCCTGGCTCACCCCTCTCCTTTTACAGTTAAGGGGAACACACCCAGATGTGATCAACCAGAATTTGGTCACAATATTGTTTGATACATTAAATAACACATCATCCTTTTATCTAAAGCCATACTTTTAAACACTATAATTGATAGCAGCCTCCCTTTCTTCATCTTTCAGAACGATCTGCTATTGTTTTCCTTTTAATCTGGAAAAATTGCATTCTAAACTACACATAAATATTTATAATAGTCAAACCCATAGAGAAATACAGTACATTTTATGGCTGTATCTATGGTATTCATGTCAATAACCCCAACTAATCAGTCAAAGCAGCATGTTTTCATGAAATCTGACCACACACACACACGCACACAAGCACAGCTGTAAAACCCTCAGGTATACATTTTCTGTGCCATCAAAGCATTTAATGCAGAATCAGAGAAGGTCAGGATTTCGATCTCCCATCTTCTCACCACTGAGCATGGGATTGCCCTTAAACCATACCTAGCATGCATTGAAAACAGCCTAATAATCAGATCAGATTCACAAGTGCTTTCTAGAAAATAGCTTGCAATGAATGTTGACGTGCCCTGCATAGCTTGCGTCTCTGCTTTATCTTTTAGCAATAGCTGTGAAATGTGCACTGCCACTAGATACACTACTTGTGACACATACTCAGGGGACTGTTTGAATGCTACAGATTTCTTCCAGAGCTTACTTGGGGAAACACAGCAGGAGGGGTGCAGCATCCTCCAGCATAGAACGAACAGCTGGCCACACCTACTCTCAAATATGCAGTTGTTTTGCTCCCAGATGCACATTCTCTCTCTCCTTCTCTCCCACCCCCATCATCCACCCATTTGAAAAACACTCCATTTTTATTAATTTCCATTAGCAAACATAAAATCTTTTCAGAGTGCAAGTGGAAGTCTTTAAACAATTTCTTTACCAACTAATGAAATAGAAATCATTTTAGTTTAATAAAACAGTGATCAAAAAGAATGACTTGGCTGTTTAATTTACCCACTCCCTTATTTACCAGATTTTATCCCAGTCCTGGAAGAGATTTACATTATAGCAGTGGATAAAAACATTACATGTGCATGTAACTGCTAATGATGGTGAGAGCCATGAAGGGAGCATGAAGGCAGTTATGGGAAGAATAATGTGGTGGTGGTGGTGGGGCATTGAAAGAGAATAACAGGGCACAGGGAGATTGATTGACATGAAGTAGGAAGGGAGGACCAGATAGGCTTCTCCAAAGCAGTGATATTTAAACTTAGATAGGAAGGATAAGTTGGTGTTGACCAGGGTAAGAATGTTGGAGGCGGCAGGGCAAGGAGAGAAGGGTAGAAGAGGGGAAGGAGATGGAAGAGGAACAGAAGGGTGGAAAAAGGAAGACTATTCCTTTCAGAGAAATGAGTTGAATGGAGGCATTCAGGCTGGAGATCCATCCAAAGAAACAAGCTTTAGATAACAAATAAGCTAGCGAAATAAGAGAGTATTAATACCTTTAATGTAGAAAGAGGTTATACAAGCAAGACAATTATCCCAAAAGAGAGCAAAGGATATAAACAGAAATCTCACAAAAGAAATACATATATGCAGTTGACACTGAATAACACAGGTTTGAACTTCACAAGTCCAGTTACGTGTCAATTTTCTTCTGCCTCTGCCACCCCTGAAACAACAAGACCAACCCCTCCTCTTCCTCCTCAGCCTACTCAATGTGAAGGCAATGAGGATGAAGACTTTATGATGATCCACTGTTACTTAATGGACAGTAAATATATTTCCTCTTAGCTTATTGTGAGAATACAGTACATAATACACATAACATACAAAATATATGTTAACTGACTCTGTTATCAGTAAGGCTTCTGGTCAACAGTGGGCTTCTAGTAGTTAAGTTTGGGCAGAGTCAACAGTTATACACAGGTTTTTGACTAGGTGGCGGTCAGTGCCCATAACTCCTGCATTGTTCAAGGGTCAACTGTATATGTGCATGTGTATCTATATATACAGTATCTCATAATTACCATTTTTTCCCTAACCCACTGACAAAGATGAAGAGATTGAATAATCCCAGCACTGGGGCAGGTGTGGGGTGAAAAGTCCTCTTGTTTGCTGCAGTCCTTCTAGAGCACCACCTGGCCACCAATAAACAACCTACATTAGGTACATATCCTTTGTGTCAGCAACAGCATTAAGTATCATCAAGTAAGAGGGGTGTGAATGATTTCCCAGAACATAGCAGGCACTGAAGTATTCACTCAAATATTTATCAAGCACCTAAAACATACATGGCACCGGTACCGTGGATGCTGCAAAGATGAGGAAAATCTTCTCCACCCTTGAGAACCAGCTATTCTATTGAGGGCAACAGAAAAGTACACATTTAGATATAAGCCATGGTGAACATTAAAGAGGCACAAAAACTGCTATTAACAACAGAGGTCCCCCAAAAAGGAAGAGCCATCTGATTTTGAGGGATGGAGGAAGGCTTTGCAGAAGATTTGGCATGTGAAACTGGCCTTGCAGTGTAGAAGAAAGGAAGGAGGTGCTGGATTTCAGAAACTCCTGAGAGTGGAATGGTGAACAAACAGGCACCATCACTGCCTCTTAGAGTCTACAGACTGGCAAGGGCATTAAACAAGTATGATGAGAAGGCAAAGTTCAGGGAGCTATGAGAATATCATAAAGGCAGTTATCAAAAAATACAGCAAAGCCCAGTGTTGATGAGGATGCAGGGAATTGAAACTCAAATATAGCACAGGTAGAAGGATAAGTTGGCATAATCACTTTGAAGAGCAACTGACCAAAATCTAGCAAAACTAAAGATAACACAAATCATTTGACTCAACAATGATACAGATACACCTAGAGAAACTCTTGCACAAGAAGACATGCAAGATTGCTCAATCTACAAGGTTTACAACAGTGAAATATTGAAACACCCTAAGTGTTTATTAACAGGTGATGACATGAATATATAATATTATTTTCACACAATAAAACTTGTAGGAAAAATTATAAACGAGAATTACATGGGTAAATCTCAGAGGCATAGAAAGCAGGTTGCAGGATTACATAATCAGTGTGTAATTTCTATAAAGTTCAAAAACATGCAAAATAATTTTATATATAGTTTATGGATACATATATATGTAGTAAAAATATAAAAGCATGAATAAGAATGACAAAAACCAAATTTAGGCTAGTGGTTGCTTCTAAATAGGGAAACAGAATGGAATTGGGGAGGGTTATAGAGTGAGCATCTAATATATATTATACATACTTCCTTCCCTGGAAGGAAGTTCTTCAAGCCAGAAAACACCAACTATCCGTAAGTACTCAGCATCCAGCACTATGCCCCACAAGTTATATAAGTAAATATCTGTTGAGTGAGTCAACAAGTCACCATTTCATCTCAGCATTACTTGGATGTATGCTGCCATGGCTTTGCCTGGACACATCATTCCCTTCCCCTGTTTCTTCCAGCTGCATAAAAACAAGTGCAAATGTCTGCATACTGCCAGAGGAATTTAAATGGTTGAAAACCCAGGAATAAGCTAACGCAATGACAGACCTTAGAAAGACAGGCTCACTCAGAAAAAGTTATCTTACTAGGAGACAGCCAAAGATGAAATGTGATCCCCGAAAAAGAGGGATCATCTCAGACCCTGGAGATATTTAAAGAAGAGTGAAAAGTCTACTTGGAGTAAAAGTCATAAAAGGGACTTGAGAATCCTATGACATGACCTTAAAAGTGTTATAAGATTCTTTCTTTTAAATTTCTTATTTTTATATATTTAGGGTATACAAGTACAGGTTTGTAACATGCATATACTGCATAGCAGTGAAGTCTAGGCTTTTAGTGTACCCATCACTGGAACAGTAAACGTTGTACCTAATAGGTAATTTTTCAACCCTCACCCCCTCCCACCCGCCCACCTTTTGTAGTCTCCAGTGTCTATTAATCTACTCTGTCCGTATAAAGACATTACAATTCTCGCTTCAGTGGACACCCCAAAGAAGTGACCTCAAATTCCCTAATCATGTCATTAGAAGAGATCTGTGTCCTTCTCTCCATCCCCTGTACACAATTATGTGTTGCCCTATATCTTCTGAATAACTTCATTCATACTAATAATACGAATCAAAGCAATTCCTGAAAGCTGTTTGTAAGTCAACCATTGTTAGGAGTAGAGACATTTCACTTCATATCCCAAAGTGAGTTATCACATGTAAGTCCACACTTTTAAAGATACCACCCTATTTCAGATTTACAGCCAATTCATCACCCACAAATCTGACAAACGATATTTTCAAACTGGGAGTGCATGACAAGCTGAGGCACCACCTCTCACACAGGGACTTGTACATCCAGAGACGATGAAGTGCTCTAGGGGCCATTGATGGAAAATATTCTAGGTATCCGTGATGAAGAAATTCATGTACCAAACAGCTATAATAAAGGTTTATGAAAGGAAATAAGGCCAAGTCTTCAAACGAGGGCTGGAAATGGTTAAAAGCATGAAGCTCAGCTTTATTCGACAACTTTACATAAATAAAATAACGAAGGAACTTCAAAAGGGAAAGATGTGGCTGGGCATGGTTGCCATAGTAGCAAAACATGCTTTTGCCTTTTTGTCAATTCTTTCTGTATTGGAAGGCAGTGGGGAGAGGCTCTACGGACTAGAGCTGGAGCCTAGGGGAAGAGCCAAGCGGGGGCTGAGTTGTTTGATCCTGAAAAGAAAAGAAGAAAGAATTTATCCAGAAAGCGTGCCTAGGGCTTATGAGGAGGCAAAGTGGTGAATGAAGCCTCCCCTGAGAAACAAGTCCAACTGGCAGAGGCTTCCCAGCATGGAGATATCTGGAAAAAAGGTAAGAAGATGCGGCAGGTGGGAGCTTAGCTAAAGGGATGAAATTTTGTGCAGAATAAAAAAGATGAAAGAAAAGGAAAGAATGCAATAATTGAACACACAGTGCTCACAGTGCTACCCTGAAGGTAGAGGTTTTAACTGAGGACTATAATGAGGTAACAAACATCAAGGCAAGTGTTTGAAACCAGGAACTGCAGATCTGTGAACTGCAAAGGTTTCCCATTCTTTCAAACGTAAAATGTTTCTGCTTTCAGTTGTAGGATTTGAGATGAAAGACGCAATGCTGAGTGTTTGCACAGTAGGCCAATCCTCAAATATTCCTGAACCAGCACTCAATGGGGGAGGAGAGAGAGAGGAGAGGCCCTGGGGGAGGAAAAGACTCTCAAGAATTGGAAATGCAACAGAGTATAGCAGGACGGGGGATCTGTGAGCCTTCTTTCAACCATAAAAATAAAAGTGTTTTAGAAGAATTACCCTTTCAGGCTGGGCACTGTGGCTCACGCCTGTAATCTAGCACTTTGGGAGGCCGAGGCGGGCAGAGTACCTGAGGTCAGGAGTTCGAGACCAGCCTGACCAACATGGAGAAAACCCATTTCTACTAAAAATACAAAAAAAAATTAGCCAGGCGTGGTGGCACATGCCTGTAATCTCAGCTACTCAGGAGGCTGAGGCAGGAGAATAGCTTGAATCCGGGAGGCGGAGGTTGCGGTGAGCCGAAATCGTGCCATTGCACTCCAACCTGGGCAACAAGAGTGAAACTCCATCTCAAAAAATAAATAAATAAAAATAAAATAATTACCTTTTTAGGGTGTTTCTTATTTTTTCCACGTAATGTAAATTTTCAATCATCTGTATTTCTAAAGACTAAAGAAGGAAAAGGAGATCTTGGTAGTAATGAGTTTATTTTATGCATTCTTTTTCTCGTAATAGTATTTCAGCTTCTATACTTTCTCTATGATGACTCATACACACAAAGGGAATTATCAAATTGAGAAAATCTGTCCTGATAAAGGACAATCTTAGACAAATTCAAATATGTAAGTACCCAAACTGTACAGCAACATCCCCTACAACTTTTTTTTTTTTTTTTTTTTTTTTTTTTTGAGAGAGAGAGAGAGAGTCTTGCTCTATGGCCCAGGTTAGAGTGAAGTGGTATGATCTCAGCTCACTGCAACTTCTGCCTCCCTGGTTCAAGCAATTCTCCTGCCTCAGCCTCCAGAGTAGCTGGGACTACAGGTGCCCACCACCAAAACCCAGTTAATTTTTGTATTTTCAGTACAGATGGGATTTCACCACATTGGCCAGGCTCGTCTTGAACTCCTGACCTCAAGTGATCCACCCGCCTCAGCCTCCTAAAGTGCTGGGATTACAGGCGTGAGCCACCACACCTGGCCATCATCTCCTACAACTTTTACGTTGCAAAATTAAATGTTCTTTACCTTTGATTCCCTCTACTCATGCAGTAAATTTACTCCACAGACACTCATGGAGTGCCAACTACATGCCAGTCACCCCATTCCATTCTCTTACTTCTCTAATGTGGCTTAACCATACTCTTCCTGGTCTGATCCCATTTTACAAATATTCTTTCTAAGGCCCCAAACTCAATAAATCTATAAAATTGACTTAATAAAATAAATATAAATAAATCTTAAAAAGAGAAATATATCTTGTTCCTAATTAGGAAGATTCGACATTATAAATGTAGCAAATCTCCCTAATAATATGTAACTTCAATTTTGTGTCAATCAATGTCACGGATTGAATTGTGTGCCACTCCGCAAACTCATATGAAGTCGTAACCCCCAGTACCTTCAGAATGTGACCTTATCTGTAATGGGGTCATTACAGATGTAATTAGTTAGGCTACAATGAGGTCACACTGGAGTAAGGTGGGCCTCTAATCCAATGTGACTGGTACCATCATAAAGGGGGAATCTGGGGACACAGGCAGGCATACGGGGAAAATGTCAGGTGAACATGAAGAAGGCCGAGAGGCCTGGCATAGATCCTTCCCCACAGTCCTTGGAAGGAACAAACCCTGCCAACACTCTGCTTTTGGACTTCCAGCCTCCAGAACTGCTGAGATGATAAATCCTGTTGTTCCAGCCACCCACTTGGTGGTAGTTTGTTTCAGCAGCTCTAGCACACTCATGTGATTAGTGCCCAATCAGTAAGCTTTAATGTTTGGAGATCTGAGATTCGAGTCACTTCACAATCTGGTCTCAACCCATTTTTCTGGATTTTTTAAAACTATGACCAAAAAGTGGCATCGACATTCTAGGAATCTATCCCTAGGAAGACATGCGGGAAAGTGCAAAGATTCATGTATATGGGAGAATATACTTGTCAACACTGCTGTAATAAGAAAGTAAGAGAGAGAGAAGATGGGGGAGAAAATATAAGCAATGTACAAGTCCAATCCCTGGGGCCTAAAATTGGATACAAACAAATAAATATATTGTTAAAATAAACAGGTATAGCTGTTAAGGGGAAAAGGAGGTAGGTCCATCTACCTGGGCTTCAGAGAGTAAGGAAAACTAGCAGAAGAGGTAAACCTGGGCATATGCTGTGTGAATTAGACCAAGTTAGCCAGAAAGACGGGGACAGGGAGAACATTCCACGTAGAGAGAAAGTCAAGATAGTGGGGTGGTATCGGGAGAGAAAAGCCAGCATCTGGGAGCACTGTCTGGAGTTCTGCAAGGCCAGAGAGCAAGGACTGGGTTGGGAGGGTACCAGGGGATGAGAGAGAGGTCCAGGGGTCAGCTGAGCCCAGACCAAACTGGGCCTGCACATGCTAACTGAAGGCCATCAAAATGGGAGGGAGGCCCACAGAGGCTGAGTCACAGGGGCGTGTGGAGCAAATACCAGCTTTTTTTTTTTTACTAAGTGCTGAACTCTGTGTGTTTGATAATATAATATTATATTAGTACAGTGGCATATATCATTTACAGATGTTTTTTCTTTTTTTTAAAGCCTGAAATAGAAGTTAACAAATGTACTTCTATCTACGTAAATTGGGGGTACATGCTCAAAAACTTTTTTACTGAAGAGTTAATAAATAAAGTGTGGAGATCACCATATCAGCCTATAGATGCCGAAGTTCATCTTTTCTCTCAAGGCATCCGCTGAGGCTGCAACCTCAACCCAAGAAAGAAAAGGTTGGGAAATGATAACTAAAGGCTACAAGGTCTCCTTCTGAAGTCATAAAAATAATCTAAAATTGATGTGGGTGATGGTTGCACAGTTCTGTGAATATACTGAAAAGCATGATTTGCACACTTTAAATTGATAAATTGTGTGGTATATGAATTATTTCTCAATAAAACTGTTACCAAAAAAATCTTAAAAAAAAAAGAATTAATGAATTATGCTTCCTTACGCACTGACATACTGCTTCTGATTCTTGGGTCAGTGCAGGTCAAGGAGAGAGCACTATGATAAATATCTGTGAGGAAACAGACAAGCTCAGGCAGCTGAACCTGCAGGTATAATGTAACTGCAGAATCAGAGACTCAAAAGCTGTGTTTGAGTCTTCGAGCCCTCTCTATCAGACATCACCCTAGCCTCAACCAGTCGGCCTGACCTCTCCAATTAGGGGTGGGATTTTGCTGGTCCAGCCAACCTAAAGCGAACCTGGAGCTCTAGAAGAAATACAGGAAAGGTACCTCCTACATCATGACTGTAGACACCTCTGTGTAGACACACAAGAGAAAACAATAATGCAAAAGCTCCCAAAACCTCCTACATTCAATGTACTCTGCATTTTTTACTCCATTTCACTTTTTAAAAATGCTACTCTCAGGCTGGGCGTGGTGGCTCACTCCTGTAATCACAGCACTTTGGGAGGCCAAGGCAGGCAGATCACCTGAAGTCAGGAGTTTGAGACCAGCCTGGCAGACATGGCAAAACCCTGTCTCTACTAAAAATACAAAAATTAGCTGGGCATGGTGCGGCATGCCTGTAATCCCAGCTACTCGGCAGGCTGAGGCAGGAGAATCTCTTGAACCCAGGAGGCAGAGGTTGCGGTCAGCGGAAATCACGCCACTGCACTCCAGCCTGGGCGACAGAGGGAGACCCTGTCTCAAAAACAACAACAAAAAAAATGCTACTCCCAACCCACTAGCTTGATTTCATTACCCTTGTAAGGGTCACATCCAGCAGTGTGAAAATCACTGTTCTAGAGGTAAGTTGGTAAGACAGACAGACATTTGTCTGGATATGCTCGTCTCCATGGTCCCGCATTTTCAGGATCCAGAATTAATCTACTCAACAAGAATTTTCCTTCAGTTTAATAAAAGATGTGACGATTAACATATGTTCTGTATTATGAAAAACAGATTTTTAAGAGCAGATGTGCGATTCCCAGCTCCATTACTTTATTAAAAAAGAGTACTTGGTTTTCCTTGAAGATTCCATGAATCATAGTCATCTAGTTTGGATTGACATCACTGCATTAATAATAAAAACAGCATTTTGCTGCCCAAGGTTTGTCTTCTTTCCAGATATAGACAAGAATGGTGATCCTGTTAAAGAAGCAGATATCAGTATTTAACTCAACTTGCCAAAAGTCCTCGTAGTCTTTTCTCAAAACACTCGCTCCTCTTGAAACGCAATGAATAAATTTATTTGTTGTTGGGTTTTGGAAGCACTGTTTGTTCATTGTTGAGACAGGGTCTCACTCTATCACTCAGGCTGGAGTGGTACAGTTAGCGGCCATCTCAGCTCACTGCAGCCTCAACCTCCTGGGCTCAGGTGATTTTCCCACATAAGCCTCCCAAGTAACTAGGACTACAGGCACACGCCACTATGCCCAGCTAATTTTTTATATTTTGTGTAGAGACAGGGTTTCACCATGCTTTGTTGCCCAGGTTGGTGTCAAACTCCTGGGCTCAAGTGATCCACCCGCCTCAGCCTCCCAAAGTGCAGGAGTTACAGACAGGCATGAGTCAGCACACCTGGCCCAATGAATAAATTTAACCTTCAAATTCGTCTCTAATGTCTCCATGACACTGATCTGTGCCAGAATCTTTAACTTGGAATCACACACATACACATCCTTAAGTCACTCTTCCTTTTCCTTTCATGATAATTCAAATTTCTGAGGCCACTTACCACCTTCAAAGAAACTTCGAAAGATCATGAAAAATATTAAGGATTTTTACCATTGATCTTTATATAAAGTGTTACCAATTGGATTTATATACAGGCTTTTCCTGGTTTAATCGTAAATACATGGTTTATTTCTTTAAATTCCTTCTAATTGCCTAAGGGTTCATGTAGTCGTCTTCCAACACTTACTCAGCACATCTGTCCATTTGTTCACCATTCCAGAAAGGTTAGAGGATGTGTGGCACATTCACTCATTAGCTAGTATAAAAATAAAGCAATCAGCATTCAAAGCTCACTTCATTCCAGCTATTCCCATCTGTCCTATGAACACTGACTTCTAAAAGTTATGGTTCCATTAACTACGTATATTTGTGAATCTCTGAGAATGCCTTTCTCTTCCCTAATGGTTAGAAATTTAGTCTTTGATCTATTTTAACAAACACTTCTGTAGGACACTAATAGACTCAGAGGTTTCAACACTGCAACACAACTAGGAAGGTGAGTCTAAACCCCCTATACCCCGCTGCATCACCCCTTACTCCCCTCCCCTCATCATGCCACCCAAATCTCACAGGCCCCATCTGTGCTTCAAAAACCAATGACTAGCAGAATAGACTTTTCTCCCCACGATGTTCCCATTGAACCTGCAGTTGAGAATCATTCTCCTCATCTTCAGTTTTGAAAACAGACTGACAGCAATCCTCAAACCCTTTGACCAGAAGTACCTATTGTAGCACAATTACTCAATGTACTGAGGCTTCAAACTGTAATTCTTTAGGGAAACTTCATTCTATTTGAGCTTTCAGTTCTTTCCACAATTGCAATTCTCTAGGAACTCATTCACAGAGGAAAATAAAACCCACTTTAAGTTGATATATATTTATCTCAGCCACAAAGAGCCAAAGTCCTCCAAAGAGCATTTGTTTCACTGAACCGTTCTGGGAATGCATCCTGGAAGAGAAAGGTACTGCCAAGACCAACAGATAATAAAGCAAGATAGAAAGGTCAGTAGCTACCCTCATCTCCAGAATGCACAGAAACTCTAATCTCAGGCCATCAGTGCAAAATTAATTTCCATTTTTAGGCTAAATAAATTCCATTTGAAAGTATCGTGGAAAGATACAGGTCACTGGATAAACAGATAAGGAAACCTTCACATACTTCTATGCTTTTCTTGAATACTTAATTGGAGGAACTAATTGTAACAATCCATTTTTACTGTTTTTCTTGAAAATATTAGCAGTGCTTCAGTTGCGATTTTCATTGCCAAAAAATTTGAGGACAATTCCACAGGTGCCTATGATCCTTCCTGCTTTATGGTTACATTACAGGAGTTCGTCTCAGAAGATGGCAATGGCTTTCTGCCTAAGTAAAGCTTGGGAACATAGAATGGTAAAAGTTCACCTTTCACAGACAATCAATCAACTGTTGTCAGTCAGAGGCTTGAGATATAAATAGGCTTCCTATAAGTTTAATAAAGAATGGGGGTCAGGTACAGTGGTTCACACCTGTAATCCCAGCACTTTGGGAGGCTGAGGTGGGTATATCATGAGGTCAGGAGATCAAGACCATCCTGGACAACATGGTGAAACTCTGTCTCTACTAAAAATACAAAAATTAGCCAGGCATGGCAGTGCGCGCCTGTAGTTCCAGCCACTCAGGAGGCTGAGGCAGGAGAATTCCTTGAACCTGGGAGGTGGAGGTTACAGTGAGCCGAGATTGTGCCACTGCACTCCAGCCTGGGTGACAGAGCGAGACTCCATCTCAAAAAAAAAAAAAAGAATAGGAAAATGTTGAATATTCTCTTCATGCACCTACAAAAGCACACAGTGGTTATTGAGCAAGATGCTGAGCTAGAAGAAGTTGGTGCCTTTGTCAATAAATAGCTCAGCTCTTTAATCTCAGTCTGGTGGCCTGGTCATCACATCAGACTGTGGATGGTCAGATTTTGGCAAAATATTACCCACAAGCAGATTTCTTTTATGGGGACTATATCCTTAACCACTAGAGAAGAGATTATCCTAAGAGCTATTCAAATCCCCAATGTTGAGCAAGACTGAAAATCCCATTGCTGTGATGACCAATTCAGAGGGCACTGAGGGTTCTCAGGATGTCCCTCTTTAGGCCTGATGGAACCTCATGCTGTTGTACTTGGCAAGGGCTTATGCTTGTGTTGGCACTTTTGTTCTCACAGTTATTTGGGAAGGGAAAGGCCGCTGTGATATGTTGACCACCCTAATGAGAGGTAGAGAATAGAGATTCCCAGACAAAGACGCCATTGTGCTGGCCAATGAAGAGACACCACAGGCACGGCCTGACACCAACCAAATAGTTCAAGGTCCACTGACCTACCCTTAAGATCAAACTCATATATTAATATTGATTTTCCTCAACATTCTGTAGTTGTATTTCAGTCTTACGTTCTCAATGAAACATTAATAAACTTATTCTATGCCCTGTACTATACACACACACACACACACACACATATACACACATACATATATTTCAGTCATATGTTACATGACTGAAAAGTCACCAAAAAGCTGTTTAGGAGTAGCAAAAATAGAATTTTGTACAAAGACTACCTGCCAGAACATAAACTCAAACCAAATGAATCTCTACATTTTTGGAACCATTCAGAGTCACAGAAATTGGAAGCGCTCTTCAATCTCTGAGCCATCTCTTGCACACATTTCAGCTCTCTTCAGTCCCGCCGACAATACCCATCCAGATAGGAATATCTGCACTGTCCATGATCACAGAGTTTTCTCTGACAGATGTAGCCTCTTCTATGATTCAGTTTGAGTTAAGTCTAGCCAGCTTGCCTTTCCTTGAGTCTATGAGTTTTAAGTTAGCATATTCCTCAAGACATCAAGACAAAGTGAGCAATATAGACAGAAATTGCTGAGTTGCTTATATTAATAGTTCTCTAGCCCTGAGGCCAGGCAAATTCCCTCACATCCTTCACAGACTGGAATCAGACGCTCAGCAGCACTTGTTCCATGGGCCTCTCTCATCCAAGCTGCTCCCTTGGTTAACTGAGAACATTCCAGTTTATCTGGCAGAAGAGCTTTCCTTCACCAGGTGTATTTCCGATGTTTACAGAAAAGAGTTTAGCCGTTGCTTACAAATACTGTAAATTAACAGATCTTCGTTTCTCCTAAGAAATGGTACTTTTGGATCACATGTGAAGGTTTAAAAAAATACAGCTGCCCTGGCTTCCTGAAATCTGGAAAGATTTACAACATGAAAGAAGAATGGTTTCATTGGATAATAATCCATCTGCAATAAGAGCAAAGTCCATACTACTATTAAATGTGTTTATCCACTGATTCATCTGAATATTCCTTGATTTGCTTTAAGTACCATAATCAAATGTTTTTATTTAATTCAACAATGATTCAGGAAAAGCAATTTGGAATCTCACAGGTGGTCTGAATTCACTGTGTTGGTTACATTTGATGCACTTCCCAGAGCAGAAAGAAAAAAAACATCCAATATGATTTTTTTTTTCTCTTTACCTTAGAGCATGAGACATGAAGCTTTTACGAGGGAAATCATTTCCCAAAAGTGAAACCATTGCTTGCTAGCTTATGTTTCCATTTAAACAAATCTCTAACTAAACACATATGAAAAATGATAGGACCCTTCCTTTGATAACAATCTAGCATCTAACATTGGCAGGCAAAGTTTAAGTCACTTCCTGAATTGCTAAACAGCTACACAAAAGAATCACCCAGTACATTTGTATGTTTCCCTTTCATTTACTTAGCAATTCGTTTCTTCAAATTAAACATCTTAGTTTTCCAGAAATTATTGTTTACCCCAGTTAAATGATTGATGTATAATAATGTAATTACATGTGATACAATAGAGGGAGGAAGGGGTAGGAGATGTGTGCAGTTTAAATGATTAAAATTCAATCCATAGTCAATTTCCATACTGCATTCTTATAACAAGTGTGCATCTGCGTGGAGCTATATTTAGATTTCTGAGTGTTACAGAGTCTTTCTTTGTCAATACAATCAACCAAAATGAAGAGAGAGTACCTGTTTGAAAATGCAGGTCAATTCAATCCACAATGGTAACCCACACAGATGAGTTCTCAACTATCGTGAAATCAGCTAGTTGGTTAACTAGTTGGTTATACACCCAATTAATTCCTTCATCCATTTGCTCCACGAATACATATTTGAGCCATGTGTGTGCTGGGGAATATGCTAAGCATGCATACAAAAGTGGGCAAGAATAGACGCTGATGCTAAGTGGCCAAACTTGTGTCTTTTGTAAAATGTGTCTTTGATGGTTTGTACCAGTCCATCTGTCCTTTTTTATTTTTTATTTTTTTAATTTATTTATTTTTGAGACAGGGTCTGGCTCTGTTGCCCAGACTGGAAGGCAGTAACATGAT